CCTGTCTAAGCCCCAGTTGGGCGTTTTCTTCACTTTTTCTCTTTACGTTCGACCACTTTTCACCTACAACTTCCATATAGGTGCTTTTGGCCCGCAAATTCGTTCCTGGACTGTTGCTTTAATGAAGCCGAATGTCGATACTGGTCAAAGGTGGGAAAAGAAGCTAGAGAAATCCCCGATTACTCTCCAAATAAGGACCTCCTCTATTTCAGCCGCATTCCACCTTGGGATAGAGAAGGGCGTGTTGGACGAGTTTCACGAACCTCTCTTGCTCCAGTGCCAATGACATTGAACCGCAATGCAACCGCTGCCGCAACTGCGCCCGCGCTTTTCTTGCAGCGCCACGTGGCAACCCGGGCGGAAGGGTGGGGCTTGCGGACGAAGGTGTGAGTTGCGGGTCGAGACGAGCTTCTAGCGCCTTTGTCGCGCACTTTCAAGCCGCAAAAGGGGCGCGACATCAACACTTGTCCGCCTGTCTACTACGCTGGGGATAAAATAGGTAAGCGTGCCTAATCCGGAGCGTGTTTAAAATCGCCTTCAACGGTATTCCACCTATAGCTAACCAAATTAGCTGTGCCTCCCACACAAGCCAATCAACTGGATCGACTGCGATGAACGCTTTGGAACCTACACTATCACACAATAACTGGATATTATAGCTGGATTCTGCCGCAAGTCTCCTGATGATCGCCTCAACTTCCATGTCATTGCTTTTCTTCTGTGAAGCCGAATCGTACGCGTAGAATCCTTTCCCTGAACGAAATAAACATAGGCTTGTTGAGTTTCGCTGTATTTGAATTCAAACGATGGTCCTTCACAAAAAAGTCCCTAAAAAGTTGTCAGTCTTAAATAGGAACCAGACCAGAGTTGGAAGCTGCAGATCAGATGATAAGAGAAATGACGCACCTAGAACTACTGTAGAAGGCAGGCTAATTTCTGCATTTCACTGACTATTTGTTAGCACTGGGGGATCTCTCCACAACGTTAGGAGAGTTCCTCTTTTGGCCTCGGTACTTTATTCAGCTCTTTTTCTGTCTGACTATTTGCCCCATAGATGCCCAACAAACTGAAACCCTTCTTTTTGTTTTCCATGTCTAGTTTACCTTATTCTTTCCTGACACTCAATTCCAACTCAACTTCACGTCCCTTTTACAACCTTTGAAAACAAGTACACCGGCGACTCAGAAATGTGCCCTTGAGTTCATAGGTTTTGAAGGTATTGTAGATATGGGCAGAGCCAGTTTT